TTTTCTTTTTTTTCTTCCTCCTACTATTCACGGAGATTTTATAACGGAGCGTGCTCGTAGCGAGCTGTAAAACGCCATCGATGCCCGACTCGTTTTCTACCTCGACTTGGTGAACTCGCCGTAAACTCTGGATGAATTTGCAGTTACAACTGCGACGATCTTTTTTACTCTCTCCGCCGGGGTGTAACTGGCCTGAAGAATTGCCCGGGTTATGGAGTGGAGCGCAGCGTTGCGTAGTCTCTGCCATCAGTTTATTGTTTAATTTGTTCTCCGAGAGATGTGCGAATTTTCATGTTGCTTTGGGGGTCGAGTGGTACCATTTTTGAGATCAGAGAATGTGGTACGGTGGATCTGAGCAGTTTGTTTCATTTTTTCTCGGAGAATTAGGTGAATTTTTATGTACTTTTCAGTACTTTGAGAATCAGGTGGACTTTTGTATTTTTTGGGGTAGAACGATATAATTTTTGAGGTCACAGAATTGGTGCAGAAGATAGGACTAGTTTCAGTGATTTGTTATTTAATTTGGTCTCTGAAAATTAAGCAAATTTTTATATTCTTTTTTAGCGAATGTGAGCAGTTTGCTTAATTTGTTTCCTGAGAATTAGGTGGACTTTTATATTTTCTTTGGGTAGAATGATACAATTTTTGAGGTCAGAGAATTGGTGCAGAAGATAGGACTAGTTTCGGTGATTGGTTATTTAATTTGGTCTGTGAAAATTAAGCGAATTTTCATATTTTTTTGTTTAAGGATAAAGTGGTACAATTTTTGAGATCACAGAATGTGATACAGTGAATCTGAGCAGTTTATTTAATGTGTTCTCTGAAAATTAAGCGAATTTTTATATTTTTTTAAGGGTAGAGTGGTACAATTTTTGAGATCACAGAATTGGTACAGCATTTATGTTTATATACAGTATTTAATTTATTCTGAAATAAATTAGATGAATTTTTATATTTAGTTTTGGTACAATTTTTCAGATCACGAAATATGGTACAGTGAATTTGACTTCTTTCGGTGTTTAATTTATGTGTTCGTTGAGATTCACCTTTTCTAGTACACTAATGCAATTTCTGAGCTCACAGAATGTGTTACAATAAATCTATTAAATAATTTTTCCCAAATTTCCTAAAACACAAACCACACATGACACAATCCTCACCTAACTCAATCTTAATGAAAATCAAGATCACAGAGCAAAAATTATGTAGTATAGGGGGGGCCTCCATACTCAAATAGGAAACCGACAAAGCAGGAGAATAAAGAGGGAGTAGTTGGCGTAGCGCGCAAAGCCTCGGCTTGCTAAGTCGAAGGTCCTGGGTTCGATTCCCGGTTGGGTCCCTCAATATTTCTCTGTCGGTTCCTACAATTATTTGCCATTAGCAAACATAAAAAAGGACACAATTGCCCCCTTTTCTTCTCGTCGCACACTCAAACCAAATTGAACCAAGAAACAATAAAAACTCGTACAAAGACCCACGTAATACCTCCAACTTCCGCTAATTCGTTCGAGTCTGAGGTGGCAAGTGTCGTTCAGAGACAAACGATAATTCCCCGCGGGAAGGATTCCTGAACGACGGATAAGAGCGATCGGGGTGATCAGACCTGTCGTTAATTAGACGGCCGTGAACTGGCCCGTGATTTCGCGAATTAACAGCGATGCCCCTTGAATCGAACATCGTCAATTCGTCGAACCGCAATGTCTTTGCTCGCGTTGCGAGAGGCGCACTCGAATACGGACGGCGAGCCTGTAATTTGCGACCTGTGATCTTCCGGCTAGAGAGAACGCCGCCCTCCTAATACGAGCCACGAGAGCAAGCCACGTCCTTAAAGTGGAACAAAGCCGGCGTTCCTCTCTTAATCGGCTCGATCGTTCCCCTGTCTGCGGCTTTCAATCGACGTTCTCGACTTTCCGCGAACTTCACTCGTCGTTTGATCGCACTCGGCATCGTTTCAGGCCTTTATTTTACCGTCTGCGAATCTACGTACCTCGGTGGTCCAGGCGAATTTTACGGCTCTCTTGTGTGACGTGGAGATGGAAAAGTGTTGGTTTTTAATTTCATACAGAATTTTGTAGAAGCTTTCGGTCATGTTTCAGAGGATTTGTGTTTTAAAACAAAGGTGGTTCACGATGTTCTCTTACTTAAACGAGAAAATTTGGAGAATTTCGTTGCACTTTTTGTGGAGGAAATTTTTTGTAATAGAAAATAGGAAACGACACATTAACTTCTATTTAATGTTTTTACAATGACGAATTAGAAAGTAGCACGCAAAAGAAATAACGTGAAATTTAATTGAACGTTAAAAAATATTTAAACAACAGCCTACAAAAATTTCTCCAAATGAAGAATCGTATACCGAAATCCAAACGAAAAATGAATAAAAAATGAAACTAGCCTTTAACCGAAAAACGAACCCACTGAAAACTAAATAAAAAAGGAAGAAAGAAGGAGCTTTTTCGAAAAAGTAAATTTCAATTACACGAGAACAATTCGCCGGCAAATCTTCGAAAATCCTTCAGTCATCGTTCATACCGGGAACACGAGAGTCACCCCCGGACAAAGGGGAAATTTACAAGAATTTCAATTCATAGTAAACAGCCCGTAATCCCCCCCATTGTTTGCGGTGGCCCCTCAGAACAAATAAGGGTAGCAACAGAGTGTAGTAGTAGGTGGAGTTAGCAAGTGGAAGCAGACAGGGTAGAGAGAGAGAGAGGGAGTGAAAAGAGGGCTGGTGGAGGATGTTTGCTTCTCACCTTGGCGCGAGTAACGCGAGATATCCTCTCGGTCGTTAGCGTGTTTCTGCGATCGCACTCCTCTCGCGTGTTCCGCCATTCATTGTCGCTCCTTCTTGATCCCTTCGCCGTCTTTGTGTCTTCGCAATTCTCTCATTTTCTCTCTGTTTCCCTCTCTTTCTCTCATTTTCTCTCCCTGTCTCTTCCTTCAACTCTATTGCTCTCTGTCTCTCTCTTCATCTCTCCTTCTCATTTTCGCTCTGTTTCTCTCTTCTTCTCTCTCTTTCTCCCTCTGTCTCTGTTTTCCTCTTCGGTTGTTCGCCGTTTAAACGACTTCGCGCGGCTAAAACCTGGAAAATATAATAGCGCAAACTGTTCTGCAGTGGCACGCGAGAACGCGCGTACCCGGGCTATTTATCAATGGAGAACGCGTCGTTTCGTTCGCTGTCGCGTGAATAATAAAGAGAGTTCTAATTGGCCCCGTTAAAAGCTTCCATTGTCGAGGAACGGGGAGGGGGAGAGGAGGATCGAGGATGCAGAGGGGTTGTTTTTCACGCCCGAACCTTTCAAACGGCAGCAAAACCAGTTTCACTTGCTTTTTATCGCGAAAGAGTGATTGGGATTTCGAGCTCTGGGGATTGCAGGTTACAGAGCAACCGGCCGTGAGAGGGAAATTTCGAATTCTAGGGGGATGGAAACTGGAGTAGGTGTGTGTAAAGTAGAATTTTGTCCTGTATTTCTGCCACGGCTTTTGTTTCCACTCGTCAGAGGTGTGATTAATTTCTCGACGATCTGCGCTTTACGAGAAAATCATTTTTACTACGGCTACCATTTTCCCGATCGCGATCTCCTATCCAAGCTTTTATGGCAAACGAATTTTCATCTTCGCTATACACGTGCTCGTTAAACTGGCGATAATTTTTAAAATTTTTATGCAATATTTTTCTATGCAAAATTGAAAGAAATACACTCTTTTCTTGACAATTTGACTCGATCATCTCTGGTGAAATTAAATTCGTGTAAGAAAAATAGTATATCTGGACAATTCGACTCAATCATCTCTGGTAAAATTAAGTTAGTGTAAGAGGAATAGTATAAAAATTAGTCAAACTCTCCAAAGAGCAGGTTTTAAGAATCTGTAGAAATTTAATTAGGACTAATTGTCGTTCAGAAACATTTGATATTATAGCAAACCTGTATATACGAAATTATGACCCAATAATTGCGAGGTATCGTTATCCTTGTCGGTAACTAGAAACGTCGAGGCGAAGAATAAAGGTAATCCGAATGTTTCTTTCTTTCCTGCACGGAGGGAAAGCAGCGTTTCAACGCGAGAGTATTGAGTTTTCGGTTTATTTGCGCCGGGAACAAAGACAGCAATGCGAAATTAAAATATTAAATTTCCACTCTATTTACTCTGGGAATAGCAACTGGAACAGGTTAAAATCGGAAACAAGCCTGTGAACGAACCGTGGCTGGCGACGCGGTATCTCGGCTTTCCATTTTGCTTCCGAGGATTTTCCCTTCGTTTTATTAAGTTTACTTCGTTTCACAGACTTCCCTTATTCTTCTTATCTTGTTCACCACGCTCTACTCACCGCTTTCCACCATTTCTCGCCTTCCGTTTTATGTTTAATTTCCTGACACTCGTTCGGAGACCCTCGTGATCTTCTTAGATTTTATTCTTGTCTGGGTTCTTCGAATTTTTTTGCATTTGTTACTGTATTTTTTTAGGATTTAATCGTTTATTTTTTACGATTTTTGCAGTGGCTGTTTTTGTAGCTTTTAAATTGCGGCGTAATTTTGTTTTCATGTAGGTGATATAGTTGTTAATTAAAAAGACTAGGAATATTGTATTCTTTAGACACTGTACTTTATCGTTAATGGAAATTTCAGTGTAGTACACAATGGAATATTTTTACAATTCGGTATAACCCTTAATACTACGTTCCGCCTTGTAACATAATCCTGCATTGATAATAATCTAGAATAACCCTTAATGCTACGTTTTCTTAGAGAAAATTGCTCTTGCTTAATCATAATCCAATGTAGTTTCTTAATAGCAGCAATTTAAAGCAATTCTCGGCACGATGTTCTCGTCTCAATATGATCCTTTAATAATATTCATCTAGAACTACCCTTTGTACGAAATTTTCCAGCTTAATTCACTTTCTCGTAGCTACCAATCTGAAATAATACAGGGTACTGTATTTTCCTAAATAATACGCTTCGAAAAATACCTCGAATATTGTATTTTTCTTACAAAATATGGCTGTTCTTCGAAGGTAAAGTAACATAATCTAACGTAATCCGCGTAGTATAAATTTTCGTTGCAATGGTCACGTAGAAACTATCGCAATATCGCTGAATTTAGTGGAGGATAAACGAGGCCTGTTCGGGGCCGATCGTTTCGTTACTCGTAAGATCCTGTGTTCCAGAGTTTCCGTAAGATCAGAGTTTCCAGAATTCCTAGAGATTCCAGATTTCCCAGGGTTTCCAGAATTCCAAGACTTCCAAGATTTCCCAGAGTTTCCAGAATCCCAAGATTTCCCAGAGTTTCCAGAATTCCCAGAGATTCCAGAATTTCAAGATTTCCCAGAGTTTCAAGAATTCCAAGACTTCCAAGATTTCCCAGAGTTTCCAGAATTCCAAGGCTTCCAAGATTTCCCAGAGTTTCCAGTATTCCAAGACTTCCAAGATTTCCCAGAGTTTCCAGAATCCCAAGACTTCCAAGACTTCCAAGATTTCCCAGAGTTTCCAGAATCCCAAGACTTCCAAGATTTCCCAGAGTTTCCAGAATCCCAAGACTTTCAAGACTTCCAAGATTTCCCAGAGTTTCCAGAATTCCAAGACTTCCAAGAGTTTCCAAAATCCCAAGACTTTCAAGATTTCCCAGAGTTTCCAGAATCCCAAGACTTCCAAGATTTCCCAGAGTTTCCAGATTTCCCAGAGTTTCAAGAATTCCAAGATTTCCCAGAGTTTCAAGACTTCCAAGATTTTCAAGAATTCCCAGAGTTTCCAGAATCCAAAGACTTCCAAGATTTCCCAGAGTTTCAAGACTTCCAAGATTTCCCAGAGTTTCAAGACTTCCAAGATTTCCCAGAGTTTCAAGACTTCCAAGATTTTCAAGAATTCCGACTTTTAAGTCTCTCAAAACTCCTAAGAATTCCAAGACTTTCAAAAGTTTTAAGCATCGACTTAACTCCAAAGCGATCGAAATTCCCTCAAGACACTTGGATTCATTTTGGAACCGAGATTCGAATGCCCATCGCTACCCAGTGAGTCACTGTTGGAACGCTTAGTTTGCCATGATCGCGAGTCAAACGGTGCATTGTCTGCGTGGTTGGCCCTGCCGCCGGGTGCACTGTCACTGAATACAAATCGCATTATCGCTGGAAATCCGATTACAAAGGTGTTTTATGTTACCGCGAAAAGCTCGCGATTCTCAGCATTGTGTTACTGCATTCGGTTCCTCGTTTAATCCTCTTACGTACCACGGTAATGAAAAGAAAGGAGCGACTAAAGGGGAGAAAGTTTTTATTTCACCTTAATACCGGATTATAATCATTTCATCTTCAGCTTTCTCTTCAATTGTTAAATCTTACTTACCCTTTGTTACGTACATCCTTCATTGTTTCATCACCTGTCCAAAGTAACCTACTTATACCGTACTAATTATACTTTAAATGCTAGCCAAACGTAACAAATTCTGCTCCAGTTAAATCTTACCTAACCGTGAATCATCGGACAGATCAAATTTGCTCACTTTCTCGTGCAAAAACAGCTTCGCTCGCTCTTCAAGGTTCATATCGACTTTATACCTTCGATTTCTTTTAACGATACTTGGAAAAAAACCAGTTCACCGATGACACTTGGCAACGAAAAAGGCCTTAACGCGTAGACTAAGCTCGTTCCTCTTTTTCAGAGGCCTGTGCACGTCGTTCTTCGCCTCTCGCCGCGCATAGTTTGTCCATGTGAGGGTTGTGATGACTCCATAATTAACCACGGCTATTTTCGGTGCATCGTTTAATGGAAACACGCGAGATCGGTGCATGGAAACCCGCTGGATTCTGTTTCATCGTAGAGGTAGTCTTCGTTGAACAGTCCTTGGAATACTTTTGAGAAATTGTTGATAATTAATGGTACAATCTTCGTGATATTGTCTGTTTCTTAACCGGTGTCGAGACTCTTTCAAGTTACTTGGAGAAAATTGGAAGAATAGGTTCGGTAAGAACATTATTCAACGCTTAGCTTCGAGACGAAAATTAATGGGCTTCTTTAGAGTTAGCCAGTGGTTAGAGAAGTTGGTAAGTAAAGCGGTTAATGTTTGACGAGTTTGATCTGGGATCAAGTGGGATTTGTTTACTTCGTGAGTATTAAAATTTTCAGAGATAATTCCGCCTGGAAAATTAAATAGTGCGCTAAGAATATTTCACGATCTCGTGTACAATTATCCTCAGAAATATTCACGGTACTTAAAATATGAATATTCAAAATATTCCTTTTTTCTAAGTGTTCGAATATTTTCCTAATACAGTACAGGAATGACTCCAGTGTAATACACTTTTCAAACCCAAAATTTGTACATCAAAAATTGGACGTGACGTTCCAAATTTATTTTAAAAAATGACAGAAAAATCTAAGATAGCGAAGATCCTCTGTGACAAAATTAATTTCGATAGGTCCACTAATAACGAAAATAACCGAGGTGGTCACCTTATTTAAAGAACAGAACACAGAAAGATCTAAGCTATTTTAAATTTCAAAATGGAAATGTTGAAAACTTATTTAAAATAAAAAGGTACAGGAAAATCTAAGTTCGTCAACTTGAAGATCCTTTGTCCTCTGTGACAAAAATAATTTCGATAGGTCCACCTGTAACGAAAATAATTGAAGTGTCCACACTATTTAATGAAAAACGAATGCTCGGCTTACGTGTACTCGGTTATACTTGTCATACGCGCAACTTGTACGGCTTACATTTGCCAGCAAAGCAAACGAGGGTTTCTCGCGGCGCGAATGCATCGCGAAGTGTCACCGATCCCCGGAGGTACTTCTTTGCCGAAGACCTTAACGCCGCGCGCGACTGTTGGAGAACACCCGATGTGCATGCTGCAACTCAGGTAGCATCGTCGCGTTCCAGTCAACTACGCGACTGGAATTTCCCGTTAACGAGTGTTGACTCGCGATTACGCTCCGCGATTATTCTAATTAATGCGTTTACTTGTTTCGCGTGTATTATTTCAACGTCGCGCTGGCTGCCGCGTGTTTGCCCAAGGGCGCGCAAATTGCTCCGCTGGCTTCGTGAACACCAACCCTGCCAGACTGTTTTAATTCGGTAGTCGAGTACTTTGCTTGTAAATTCGTTCGAAAGAACGTTTTTCTCTACTCTCGAGATATTTCGGTTGGAGGTTTGGAATTTCTTTTGGTGGAGCTTGTTTCGAACGCTTCGGTGTATTTCGATGTTCTTTGTTCGTGGGAGGAGTGAATATTGGAATTGGAAGGCCATCTTGACACGTTGTGCAACATAAACGACGGATGGATTGTGAAAAAGTAGAGGTTAGTATGCTAGAAATGACCATGAGAGGATTTTTTTTATTGTGCTGTTGTATGTACACTTTCGTCTATAAGTCACCGGACACTTATTAATACTGAAGACAATATTTATCGCAATTGCTTTTCAGTAAAATTTCGTACGATAATTTAGCTTGCTTCGTAGTGTAAATAATTAGCAAGTGTTAGTTCCATTTTGTAAGTATAATAGCAATTTATTGTTAATCTAAATGCAGGAAGTGTCTAGAGACTTACACAGGGAAGTGTACGTTTTGAAACCGTATAAACTCTTCTTACTAATTTTGTCCTACTTTGTCTTAACGTGGATGTTCAACTTAAACGAAACAGCCTGTATATTATTATAGAAGTAACGAAGGTCCTCAAATATCCTTCGTATCACACTTAACTATCTCCAAAGACCCTAATTTCATCCCTCTAAACTACCACGAAGTAACGAAGATTGGACACTTAATAGTTTCCAAGTCACATCCATCTCAATTATCTTCAAAAAGCCCTAATTTCATCCCTCTAAACTACCACGAAGTAACGAAGATTGGACACTTGATAGTCTCCATGTCACACCTATCTCAATTATCTTCAAGAAACCCTAATTTCATCCCTCTAAACTAGCACGAAGTAACGAAAATGGACACTTAATAGTATTATCTTCAAAAAACCCTAATTTCATCCCTCTAAACTAGCACGAAGTAACGAAAATGGACACTTAATAGTCTCCATGTCACACCTATCTCAACTATCTTCCAAAGACCCTAACTACAAAATATTCTTCCTCCACATTCTCCGTATCACACCAATCTCAACTATCTTCAGAAAGCCCTAATTTCATCCCTCTAAACTACCACGAAGTAACGAAGATTGGACACTTGATAGTCTCCATGTCACACCTATCTCAATTATCTTCAAGAAACCCTAATTTCATCCCTCTAAACTAGCACGAAGTAACGAAAATGGACACTGAATAGCCTCCAAAATATTCTTCCTCAACATTCACACTCTCCATGTCACACCTATCTCAACTATCTTCCAAAGACCCTAATTTCATTCTTCTAAACTACAAAATATTCTTCCTCCACATTCTCCGTATCACACCAATCCCAACTATATTGAAAAAGCCCTAATTTCATCCCTCTAAACTACCACGAAGTAACGAAGATTGGACACTTGATAGTCTCCATGTCACACCTATCTCAACTATCTTCCAAAGACCCTAACTACAAAATATTCTTCCTCCACATTCTCCGTATCACACCAATCTCAACTATCTTCAGAAAGCCCTAATTTCATCCCTCTAAACTACCACGAAGTAACAAAGATGGGACACTTAATAGCCACAAAAATATTCTTCCTCAACACTCTCCACACCACACCAATCTCAACTATCTTCCAGAGACCCCAATTTCATCCCTCACGTGTACAGTATCTCCTCTCGATTACCACTGAAATCAGAGATCCTCCACTTCACCATGCTCAACCTCCTCCTCTCCTCAACATCCACCGCTCCTACACCTTTCACCTGCGTCCCAAATACCTCGATCTAATCCCTCGCCACTTCAATACCTCTCATTCCCCAAACACCCTTCCTCCATTCAACCCAATCTCCGCCCATTGTCCACTTCTTTCCAAATATTCCCCCTATTCAACACCCTCGACTTTACACCCCTCTCCCTCTCTCCTATTCGCGTTAATTTCGCGCTGCACGGTCGGTCGCGGAGCAAACCCTTTCTCCTCTCTCACGCTCCGTTTTCGCTGGTGTCAAAGGGAAACCGTTTCGCGTTCCGCAAATAGTCCAAGCCCCACCTCTCTCTCTTCTTGCAGTGTCCGTGGATACCTAATTGCCAGTCCCGGGTCAGCATGGCCAAACCGTGGCTCCGAGCTCTGTATTTCTCGCTATCGTAATTTGTACGCTCAATTATCTCCATTGTTCGCGCGAACACAATCGATATACAATGGGCGTTTTCGTTTGTTTGCCAACGTACGGCTGGCCGCAAAGCGCGAGAGGAGACCGAGAGGCTACGTGGTTGGAATCGGCGCTCGATTCGGCAGCATAGATCACCAACCTGGCCACCTACAACCCTCTATCTGTGCTTCTCCTCGCTGTAGGTTGTCCAGGTTACGAGCAAATAGAAATAGAGTATCTACTCGCGTGAATCGTTTACAGATTGCTACCGTTTTCTGTCGCTCTCGGTGAAGGAATCTTCGGCGTGATGGTTTTTTCGTTGTTCCTGCCGTTTTTAAGTAAGATACGAGTGCCGAGGTGGTCGAAGTTCATTTTTATTCAACGAACACTGACGAACTCTTTCGAACTTTTCATTTGCCATTTTTCTGGAAGCTTGCGAATACCGTCGCTAAGTAGCTTTGAATCAATTGTGCGAATCCAATCGAAAAGAATTTACAATATTTCTACGCCTAATGCAAAATTATAAATATCAAATTTACCATTTTTTCCTTGAACTTTACATATGTTTCACGTATTAATCTCCGGTTTCATTTTGTGTGACATAAGTGCTTCAGCATAGCACAGTTGTGACACGGCCCAGCAAAGGGTGAAGCGATAAGCGAAATGTTTTGCACGTTCAACTGGATATACAATATTAACAGTAGGTGAGTTTGTTTGCGTTGGTAGAGCCAGTGGTTGCCACGATGTTTGTTATTCGAAGGGTGGATCGACGGGTTTATTTAGGAATAAAATATCGACGTGTTTGCGTCTG